CTTTGGCGTTGACCGTTGAGCAGCTTATTTACTATTGAAATTTGAACAAATATTCAAATGATTACGAATTTTCAATCTGAAAGAGATTTGGGAGTTTTGTGAAGAGCTTTTTCTAATCAGTACTGAAATTACAAAAAGTTATAAGAAATAACAAATTTAGATCAATTAACGAGGAAAATTCGAGACGAGCACGAGTTTTTACACTTTCCGAAGCAATAACTTGCTTCATTTTCGTCAAATTCGAAAAGTTGATACGGCAGACAAAACTAGAAGATTTTCTCTATCAAACGGTTGCTAAAGCAGCTTCATACGTCCAGTATTCAAAAAATGGCCACGTTGAGGATTTTTGCAAAATTAACGAGGAAAATTCGTGATGAGTGCGAGTTTTTACGCTTTCCAAAGCCATAACTCCGTTCAAACTCATCCAATCTGAAAAGTTAATACGTCATCATAAACTAGAAGATTTGCTCTATCAAATGCTTACTAGAACTGCTCCAAACGTTCCAGTATTAAAAAAATGGCCACGTTGAGGATTTTTGCCCGAGTACCGCCGAAAGGTACTTTTTCGCTACTATTTCAACGGCTGTATATCCTTTTAAGGGCGATTATGTACTAAAGTAAGAGCAGATTTCAATCACTGCTTTTCTCTTTCTAAGAAAAGTGAAATTGATTAGCGTTTCTCAACTTTAAAGGTTACATGTTTATAAATTTAACCCTGAAGAGTGCGTTAACGCAATGTTGAATGGTGTACACCTCCCTGTAATTGCGCACGGACACTTTCAGAATCCTCTTGATTTTTCCTGAATTGAGATTGTTTGTCCAAGGAGCCGTAGTTGAAGCGCGCGCAACAACTGACCCACTCTGGGATGCGCCGTGTACTTCACATCCCTTCAGATTCGAGGACTTACTTGAAAGATAAAATATCTCTTGGAAAGCGTGCGAAATTCAGATTCTTTAACTTGTGTGGTGATAAAACACTGAAGTAACTAAGAATTACCGGACGCCTCAGAATCACGAAAATTTTGTGTGGGTGAAATATCATTTTCATTGGAAATCCTCTGGCCTGGCATCGACTCGATCCTTGATGTTTGTCCTCCGACGGTGATGATCCTACTGCATCAATCGGCCCGATCTCTTCCCCCAGCGGGCCAATACGACCCCCCCCCCTGTGACGTGTCGAGGATTCCTCAACGCACGCTTGACCCTGCTCCCAGCTGAGGGCACGCCCCACCCATTGTTATTGCTCCGCTTATTGTACGTGTGCTCGACAAGCTTCGAACACTGTCCATCTCTACCATATCTACCTGGTCTGTAAGTAGTCCTATAGTTTCAAGGGGAATTTTTGTTGTAAAGAGCTTTTTGAAGGCACACCAGACAGAGGTCGTGTGCACGATCCCCTTCGATCTGTAGGATGAACACCTTGAGGTAAATCATAGGTATTACATTTTCATGCACGGAAATTACCCGAAAAAAAAACGCTAGAGCCTTATCAAAAAGCCGACGAGCTGCCTTCTTCAGTTTTTCGGGTTGGCGATCTCTCATAGGTCGTGCTCCGTCACATCACCTCTTCGGGCTTAGTCCCTCATTGTCTCAGCAGAGCGGATTACGAATCCGAAAAGCCCTAACCCGACTCGTTTTCCTTTTTCTCACATCGCACCAATATATTCGAATTCGTGTTCAAGCTTCACACCAATGTGATCCTGGGGCACTCAAAGAGGGCTCTCTCATCTCATTCACCGAACCGCCCTTTTCGGGCCATCTCGATGTTCAGGAGCCGGAATAAAAAACTTCCTTCACAACACCGCAGTTCCACCCACCATGAATGGGCTCAGCTCAGCGCATGTTAACTCCGCACATCCTGGCCCTGGATCCACCTATTCTGGCCTTGACCCAGCCTCAAAAGATCATTTTTCGAGTGACCCTAACTTCCAGGACAGACAAACGAATAGAGTGATGTAAATAGGACTTTAACTGAAACGGGGCTAAGACGAGTGCATGAATCTGTGCTTGGCTGACCAGGAAAGGTCATTTGGTCAACCCGGCCAATTGAAATGAGATGTATATGTGTATACGCGCCTTGGGACGCTGAGCTCAAATATGTGTTCCTTATCTGCTGAACTCTTCTCTGAAAGGAATTATGAAGCAGAAAAGCG